CAAATTCAATTGTATCTGGATCACTTAAGAGTTGTGATGTTATTTGAGATATTTCAACATAAAATGCTTCTTCATCAGTCTCGTGCAATAATGTTTTTAGGTTTTATAAATAAGATTTTTTTTCATTGGTACGTATTTTACATACATTTTTAAACCAATTTCTTAAGACATGCCATGTGATAATAACTGCTTTTGAACTGGCCCCATCACGCCACTCCAAGCATTATAAAATGCTTGTTCGTCATCAGATATAAAAATATATGCATTGATTTTACCAACAACATTTTTAATATGTTGGAAGAAATGTTTATATGTTGTAGTATCTGATTTATTGGAAAAGCAGAAAGCAACTGGATATCCATTTCCATATTCATCAATGACAACAATTGTGTCTAGTTGAAAATTATAGGTGTTTAAACCATGGGTACGATCAATACATATTTTATCATGACCAAATTAAACGAGCATTTCTGATTATCCTCGATTATCCGTGTTTGCAATTAACCGTGCTCACTCTTCCAATATTAGTTAACATATTGTATATACATAACAGAATATTTTATATTTCAAATATTGCGCGGGAAATATAGACCAATAAGAATAGTCACCTTCACGACAATGATAAGTGTGGAATTCATTGATAAGAAATTATGTTGTCAAAATGCTAAGTCCTGACGCATGCGTGGGAAGCACTTAGAACGTTGGGATTTGTCCCGGCGCAGATCCAATCGTATCTATTTTGTTATGYCTCACACGATTCGTAGTGTGTACGTTATTTGCATGTGCTTGTACGTTAACACATCGTTGTTATCAGCAATAACTTTAAAGTAATTACACATTAACATGCTGTAATTGCAAATTGAAATTCAGTATTCATTTTTTTTCAATATTGCCTTCTCTTTTTCTGCTTGCGTTGGTTTATAAACATATATCCCTTCGTGGCATTCTTGCTTCTTATTTTCGTTCGTATTTGACAATTGAACATGAGTAATGCTCCTGAAAAAGATCTGACCAGTCTGGTTCAGCAGGTAAGACTATCTGCATTTAATAATATACAGTATATAATAAAATTGATTACATTTTTGAATAATTACACATATATTCTGCATAAAATAATGAATAAATAATATATGTATGTGCAGTAGTTTTGACCATAATTTTTGATTAGGTTATACCGTTATGTACTAGCTCTACCATGACAAAATATAAAATTTGGGTTCATTGAGCATCTAAATAATAGCTAGTTAATAGTTACCAATTRGTATACACTGTAGAATCATGGTTAGATTAATAATCTATCAGATATCAGACCAGAAGACTGTTGGATTATTGGAGATTCATAAAAATACCGRCAAAAATTGTATTTAACACAATAACTAATCAATGCACATTCACTCATTAATGTTAACTGTATAAAAATAAGATATCTAAGTGGTTCATTCCAAATTAAAACAATTAACTAGTTTTATAGCTTATGATAATAACACAGATTATATAAAATATTATATAAATATTTATATAATCTGTAATAATAATGTTATGGTATATTATAATGAAAAAATAGCTTGTTTACTGGACTAAATTACAGAGATTGACTGTAGTTTTTTTTGTTGCTTAAAAAATATCTGTCATCTGTATCCAATTTATAACATAATACATAAATCAGAAATTAATAATAATGTTTTATCTGTTTTTTTTTTTTTTAATATCATTTCTTTTAGTTGGCTACTCCAGACTTGCAAAATAAAAATGCAAAAAAACGAGGTAAGTTTGATGTTTAATATGGTTATTTGCAATATATTAGACATTTTAATTTTTGTAATTATTTATCTGGCTACTA